TTGGCTTTGGGCTAGGAACTGTGGTAGTAAGTATATATGTTACTTAAAGCAGGTTTCATCTCAATCCAAAAATTCTTTAAAAATATTCAGCCTTTAAGTTTGCAGAAGCCATAATCATTACATACGCTTGAATTTTCCTGAGCATCAGACTTCAGCAAGAAACCTAATAGAAAGTATAAAGCACAGCAAATGTGATCATGGAATTATTTACGTTATTGGTTTCAATGAAATCTTATCATTCCTTCATTTTCCTAATATTTGGAACCTGCAGCCAATACGACAGAAACAGCTTTATTAGCCCACATGATTGATCATGGATGAAAGTTACTGTATTGCTATCCATCTTAGTAAAACAATATCTATAGAACATTTCAACTTTTTCTCAAGAACCACTGGATTGACTCTGGAATGGAAACAAATGTGCCTGAAGAATTCCTGACCAAGACTTGTTACTTTTCATGCTGATCTAAAAATCAAATATGACTGTTCTGGCCTCTGATAGGCAGAGACATTTTTTATTCATTTCAAAAAATACAGAAGGAATGGGCTTCAGACTTTGCAAGTATTCTTTTTAAGGTCACCACTAAGTATAATTACTATTCTTGCTGATCTGAAAATCTGAGGTGGCAGCCCTGGCCTCTCATTGGCTAGTACATTTTTTACTTCTTCTCAAGAAGGGCTGCAAAGATACTCAACTGACCACAAAGGTTTTTGTTCAAGATCCCTGCTTAATGTTCCCATGTTTCTCACCCTGGCCTTTGATTGGCCGAGACATTCTTCATTTCTTGCCTAGGACAGATGAGTAATTGACATCAAACTTGTTTCTAAAGCTAAATCTTGTGTAAAAGTAACAAATCTTTGATGCAAGATCACTTCCCCACAAATTGAATAAATAGTTCCACTGAATCTGATTACAACAAGCGCTGCTGATGGATATGGTGTGATGTATGTTTACTAGATAATATTATAATGCTTAAAGAGTGAAAATTGTTTACTATATAAAACAAGAGATCCCAGAGGGATCTTGGCGCCCACCTTTGTGCCATCTTCATTAGTTCTTTGTCTGTTCAATCTTTTCTCTTCTTTCCTCTAATCTGTTTGATCGAGTCATGTTAACAGTATATGCACCTTGAGGTAACTTTTGATCTAAACTTAATACTGATGTGTATGAAAGCCAACCTGCAAAATGAGTTTGTCATTTCACATATTTACTAGTACAGTACTTAATGTGAAAGAAATAGAATCTATCATTGCAATATGAGAAAGATGTGTTTAGCTCTTCTTTTAATCCATTTTGTTTTTATGATCAGTCTCAAAATATAACATGCACAACGAGGGGAACCTACATATACAATTTGAGAAAGATCCCTCCAGCACTTCTTGAGAAATAGCGATAACAAACTTTCACCATCAAAATCCAAGATGGCTGCCTGTCGGCCATTGTGTTTATCCGATCTGTCTCAAAAGTTGCACATGCACAGCTTATGACCAAGGGGAACCTACATTTAAAATTTGAGAAATACCGATAACAAACTTTCAATATCAAAATCCAAGATGGCTGCCTGTCGGCCATTGCGTTTATCCGATCTGTCTCAAAAGTTGCCCTGCATAGCTAAGGGCCAAGGGGAACCTACATATAAAATTTGAGAAAGATCCCTCCAGCACTTCTTGAGAAATAGCGATAACAAACTTTCACTATCAAAATCCAAGATGGCTGCCTGTCGGCCATGGTGTTTATCCGATCTGTCTCAAAAGTTGCCCATGCACAGCTTATGACCAAGGGGAACCTACATATACAATTTGAGAAAGATCCCTCTGGTACTTCTTGAGAAATAGCGATAACAAACTTTCACTATCAAAATCCAAGATGGCTGCCTGTCGGCCATGTTGTTTATCCGATCAGTCTCAAAAGTTGCCCTGCACAGCTAAGGACCAAGGGGAACCTGCATATACAATTTGAGAAAGATCCCTCTGGTACTTATTGAGAAATACCGATAACAAGAATTGTTTAAGGACTTTTTAGCCCACCATCATCATCAGATGATGGTGGGCTAAAAAGCTACTTCCACCATTCTTTGTCACCTGTTTCGGGCAATTGCATAATAAATGTGTGCAAACCGCTACACAATATTGTTAAATCACTGAAGCAGAAAGCCTTAAACATCACAGCTTAGTAATGTGTAATATATTATGTATGATAAAACCAGCAGCTGCCACAGACACCTTGCCCCATCCTTTATATGGTGCAAGAATTTAGGGCCAGGTGAGCTTTTGCAAGTTGTTGCCATATGTTGTTCATCTGACTTCTTCCCAAGAACCACTAGTAAATTAAAGAAATTGTTGGAAACAAGTATTCCTGGGAAATGTTGATTCAGATTTTTTGAAAAAAAGGCAGGGCACCGGCAGGCAAAATGAAATAACATATGAGGCACCTAATTAACATCTTGTAATGAAGGTCGAGTATTTTGTAGCACCCTTGGGACCACTAGTTGGTACTTTACAATACATTGTGCAGTACTTGAATGTTAAAACTAAAATGATTTATTTGATAAACCAAGTAGCCTAGAGTTATTACATTTAGGCAGAAGCTTGCTGAAATGTAATGCTAGAAGATTGTGAAGAGACAGAACACTACAATCTGGTAAGCATCTTCAGGCCTCTTGGACCTTTTGAGAAAACAGAGCAGCTAGCTTTTTAACACCTAAACATTCATAGGACTTCTCAAATGTTGGTGTACAACAGATACATCACCTTTACATTCCATAGGATATTGATCTTGTTCAAAGATCACAAGCAAAGTGTAGACACTGCATGTAAATATTGGAATGCGACACAGACAATTTAAATTCCTATAATCAACTAGAGTAGATAAGCTTGACCTTTATTAAAGGTCAACAGGATCTACATTTTTATCTAAAATCTCTTTTCCGGTGTGCTATCATTTATGTAAACCACATATTTCTACATATTAGATTCCATCAGTCCCTGTAGATATATACCTGTACTTGTACCTGATACCTCCCCAGAATGTACTGCTATATTAAAACAAAGTTCTAGAAAATCAGGGCACAATCCATAGACCGCGCTAGATAATGTTACACATTAAATCAGGCCACAATCCATAGACCGCGCTAGTTAATGTTACACATTAAATCGGGGCACAATCAAAAGACCGCGCTAGATAATGTTACACATTAAATCGGGGCACAATCCATAGACCGCTCTAGTTAATGTTACACATTATTAAATCGGGGCACAATCCATAGACCGCTCTAGTTAATGTTACACAATCAGGGCACAATCCATAGACCGCCCTAGTTAATGTTACACATTAAATCAGGGCACAATCAGTAGACCGCTCTAGTTAATGTTACACATTAAATTGGGGCACAATCAATAGACCGCTCTAGTTAATATTACACATTAAATCGGGGCACAATCAATAGACTGCTCTAGTTAATGTTACACATTAAATCGGGGCACAATCAATAGACTGCTCTAGTTAATGTTACACATTAAATTGGGGCACAATCAATAGACTGCTCTAGTTAATGTTACACATTAAATCGGGGTACAATCAATAGACTGCTCTAGTTAATGTTACACATTAAATTGGGGCACAATCAATAGACCGCTCTAGTTAATATTACACATTAAATCGGGGCACAATCAATAGACCGATCTAGTTAATGTTACACATTAAATCGGGGCACAATCAAAAGACCGCGCTAGATAATGTTACACATTAAATCAGGCCACAATCCATAGACCGCGCTAGTTAATGTTACACATTAAATCGGGGCACAATCCATAGACCGCTCTAGTTAATGTTACCCATTAAATCGGGGCACAATCCATAGACCGCTCTAGTTAATGTTACATATTAAATCGGGGCACAATCCATAGACCGCTCTAGTTAATGTTACATATTAAATCGGGGCACAATCCATAGACCGCTCTAGTTAATGTTACACATTATTAAATCGGGGCACAATCCATAGCCTGCTCTAGTTAATGTTACACAATCAGGGTACAATCCATAGACCGCGCTAGATAATGTTACACATTAAATCGGGGCACAATCAAAAGACCGCGCTAGATAATGTTACACATTAAATCAGGGTACAATCCATAGACCCTGCTAGTTAATGTTACACATTAAATCAGGGCACAATCCATAGACCGCTCTAGTTAATGTTACACATTAAATCGGGGTACAATCAATAGACTGCTCTAGTTAATGTTACACATTAAATTGGGGCACAATCAATAGACCGCTCTAGTTAATGTTACCCATTAAATCGGGGCACAATCCATAGACCGCTCTAGTTAATGTTACATATTAAATCGGGGCACAATCCATAGACCGCTCTAGTTAATGTTACACATTAAATCAGGGCACAATCAATAGACCGCTCTAGTTAATATTACACATTATAACAAGGTGAGGGAACGCTGTTAAAGTTGGTATTCACTGAAACATTTCATAACTAAAGCTGTACAGGTAAGTTGTGCCGTGAGGGTCGTCATTGATAGCAGCCTGTATCATCCTGAAACACACCTCATGGTGAGGTGAAATTGGTCCATAACTCTACAGGCTGGTCTGTGGACATTATTGACTGATCACCTGTATGCTTTTTTGTGACGGCATAAATTATATTCAGCAATTCTGCATATTTTTTAAAGCATCCTTTATCATGCAAAAACAAATTTAAGGCAAAGTTAAATGGAAGTCTGTCCATAAACATTCAAGACAGCCTACTGACTAGTTAACAAATGTTTGATGGAGACCAGTCCTTATGTCTGCTCCATAATACCAGTAGGGCACTAATAATTGTCTCGGGTAGATACGGCATCAGGCATGCTACACATAGACTCAGACAAATGTTTGACGGAGACCAGTCCTTATGTCTGCTCCATAATACCAGTAGGGCACTAATAATTGTCTCGGGTAGATACAGCACCAGGCATGCTACACATAGACTCAGACAAATGTTTGATTTTAAATGTTTAATACAAAATAGCAAAGTTACATCAATGTGACATGGCTCATATGTAAAAACACTAATGCAAAATATAGACACTTCTTTTCTCCAACTAGAAAATCTATCATAATGAAAACACAAAAAACAACAGTGTTGGTTAGACAGAATGTTTGACTCATGATGAAGATCTACTTCAGTATATATACACAAATGTATATATATCAGCCTATGCATAGTACCGATACATGTTTCTATCAGCCGACTATCATGTTAAGTTAAAACATATACACAATATTATGTCAACAGCCATTTTATGACAAAAATATAATTTCATGTAAAAAAGTGCCATTTTCCAACCATAATTTTGTAAAGGGGCTATTTATATTTAGTCAATGATCATGACTGCCCTGCCCTGTAAAACATTCAGGTCCCAAAAATACATGTCCTCAATAATTCCGTAGTTGATAATGAGATGACCTGTAGCTGATGTCCACTCTGGTCACTTTTATATCTTGGAGAAGCCAGTACAACTTATAAAGCTGATTGCCGAAATAGCACCATATACCATACCCTCTAACGGGAAACAAGCTGCTTGTCAATACCTCTGTGGGAACAACAGTGTTTTTGATTTCACACCTAACTATTTCTCCGCAATTTAAATTTATGAAATATATTGCTAACAGAAATTATGTGTATGATAATAAATATAAGAAATGTTTTGTTAAGCTTTGAATTCCTAAAAAAGAATAACAATTTTATGAGAGTATGCATCAGTACACAAAGGAACATTAAAGTGAATTTGAAAATGTAGGCTATACAAAAAATATTAGTTCAGTATTTCTAAACATAAAATAAGATCTTCATTTATGCTAAAGATTGAGATGTTATGAGGAAAATGCATGGGAAAACTACGATATTCATTTATAAAAGCAAAACATGTTTGTGTACAGTGCATGCTCTGGTGATTGGAAGTGTGCCATAGCTATAAAGATTAAGGATTTCTCAATGTCTTGTTAAGAATGCCAAGAAAATCTTGGCTCTTGTTTAATTCTCAGCATTAATATTGATCATAAGAAGTATCCAACTTAATCATTATAAAGGACTTTGGTTATATAACCAACTTCATTCAATAGCCCCTCTAAAATGATGTCTCTTGGATATAAAAGGACTGTGAATGACAAAATAAAAACCAGTAGTGAAGATTTTCTAACTAAGTTTTTAAAATGTTTTAAGTTGTGAAATCACAGCAAAAGGAATGTGTCTATGTTTAAATGAAAACAGTTATTTGACATGGAAAAGTCATAAAAGGTATTTATAAACTGTAGAACTGATCAGAATGAATAAGCCAGTAATAAATAGGCAACAGACTATTAATATCAAGTTACACACACAGATAAAAAGGAATCGAGATAAAACTACGGTCAAATATCTTGACAGAAATTAAAACAACATTGTGTAGTCAAATGTATTGAACCGACAGAAATAAAACGCATTGGAGAGTCAAATGTAATGACAGAAATAAAATGTATTGGAGATTCAAATGTAATGACAGAAATAAAACGTATTGGAGAGTCAAATGTAATGACAGAAATAAAACGACACAGTGGAGTAAATGGTAAAACAACAGTGTGTAGTCTAAAGTAAGAACAAGTAAAACGACAATGTAGTCAAATGTAATGACAGAAATAAAACGCATTGGAGAGTCAAATGTAATGACAGAAATAAAACGCATTGGAGAGTCAAATGCAATGCCAGAAATGAAACGCATTAGAGACAAATGTAATGCCAGAAATAAAACGCATTGGAGAGTCAAATGTAATGACAGAAATAAAACGCATTGGAGAGTCAAATGCAATGCCAGAAATAAACGCATTAGAGAGTCAAATGCAATGACAGAACTAAAAACAACAGTGTGTGGTCAAATGACAGCGGAGTATACAAACATTAAATAGGTAGTTATTATACAAACTGTAGTAAACTGTGGGCAGATAAAAATTCCTGTATTCCTAATTGCACATTAAACGATGTCTTTATATAGGAAATTAGAGAATAAATCATCAAGGAATATGCCATCAAATCATTTTCTGACTTAGAATACAGATATGCAGTGTAAATGTATGTTATGAGCTTTATAAAGTACAGTCAGTCTAGAATGAGTAGGAGGTGGTTTTCCCAGTATGCCATCACATAAAATAATTTATTTGCATAGACTCCACATGTTTTGGATCGGAATGTACAGATAGCGTCAACAACTTTTAAGTAACATATTGATCAAATAAACAGTATAACAATCATCAACCATAACTGTAACATGCTCAAAGTTATAACAACACTTTTAACAGTTTTCATTAGACTTGCACATGCCCAAGAAAATTATGTCTATCACTCAGGTATTGAAGGTGGTAATTGTTCTGATTATACATTAACAGTTTGTTTTCTGTCTCTCTACTTCATGTAATAGATATTGATTTGGAAAGTAAGTGGTACAGTTTTGTATGAGGAGAACTGCTCTGATTGGAATAGCAATGCCAGTATCAACAATTACTTAGTAAGCTGTACTTATGTATCTTTGCCTGCCAGTATCAACAATTACTTAGTAAGCTATACTTATGTATCTTTGCCTGCCAGTATCAACAATTACTTAGTAAGCTGTACTTATGTATCTTTGCCTGCCAGTATCAACATTTACTTAGTAAGCTATACTTATGTATCTTTGCCTGCCAGTATCAACAATTACTTAGTAAGCTATACTTATGTATCTTTGCCTGCCAGTATCAACATTTACTTAGTAAGCTATACTTATGTATCTTTGCCTGCCAGTATCAACATTTACTTAGTAAGCTATACTTATGTATCTTTGCCTGCCAGTATCAACATTTACTTAGTAAGCTATACTTATGTATCTTTGCCTGCCAGTATCAACAATTTCTTAGTAAGCTGTACTTATGCCAAAGTTTTAGTTTTTGTATAGCAGTCAATAACTTGACCTTGCCAATTTGCCAGTATTGGTAATATAGGTCTGGATACCACTGGATAGCAAGATTCACAATGATGGGACTTGTGCAAGTCTAATCCTTATAACAACGGTACAGGTACTCAATCTTTCAAGTTTGATAAATACATAGAAAAATATACTACACACAGACATAGGTTTGAAACTGTATCTTATTCTCATCCTTGTTAGCTTTATCTACAATCTAGTGTAAGGCAAATACTTAAAGAAATATTAATAGATTTGAACTTTATTCAGAAGAAATTTCTCCATATATTTTGTACATACATATTAGTTTATTGAAAGATCTGAAATATATATGATAATATCAACTCTTAAACTGAATGATGATTTCAAGCCCCAGGTTCAACATCAGAGCTAATTACAACCTTTGAGAAACTTTGGGTCAAAACACGATAGGACATGGTAAACTTATGAATGAAAGATTCAAGTCGAGGAAAAGTGCCGACTGATACCAGTGTTAGCACTGTCATCTGAAGGTTTTATAGAAACATTTAACATGTATAATTGTAAAAAGCATTTTACCAGGGAACATTTAATGGTATCAGTAATGACAGACATGTACCTGGGGAATGTATAAGTAATCAACCATGATAAAACTACAAAAACAGGTAAAACATGTTAAAAGTCGCAAAATCAGCTATGACAACTCGACACAACACAAACTAGGTAACAGGCATGGGGTGTCACACTCTCTGGTACAACACTTCATCTTCATAAACTGGTAAAAACATGGACTCACCAGTAACACTTGATACTGTGATAAACAGCCTTCACACTGAGTACTGATGACTACAACACACGTTATCAATACTGTACTCACTCACTAAACAACAAATCTGTCACACCGTCTTCACACTCCATACAGTGACAAATCACCTTTCACCAGTCACACACATTCTCACCATTATCACACTACTGTAAAGCATTGTGCACCATTGAAATATTCCTCCATGTAAATAACTTACTATGTGACGTTGAATGTAGTCGGTGACCAGATGAAGGGACAACACATAATGCTACAGTCAAAGTGGGGTCTCCATGGGATATTCATCCTCAGCCTGAACAACACTTGTTTGTTCATTTTTTGGCTGATCAGTATTTTTTGTTCCAAGTGTCCTTTGAACCTGTATGTGGTCAGCAGCTGTGTGGGTGACGGTGACTACTGTTTGGCCGCTAGCACCGGTAGTTGTGTCTAAGGGTTTAGCACTAGTGGAAGGACCCTGTGATACTGCTGGGTGACTTGAAGAGGGACCTTCTATGTCTATTCCTGTGGTCGTGTTAGACATTGTGTTTGTACTAATTATATTTATAGCACTAATGTTTGGGACCTCTATGTGAATGTCCCCACCTGTCACTACATTTCCTTCATTGTCCCGGGGCAGGGAGGGGCGTGCGTGTGACTGCTGGTCTGTTCCAACATGAGAACGGTATGTAGGAGGGCGCGAGTTGGGCTGATCTGCTCGGGACGGTGGAAATGTGATCTGTATGCCAGTCCTCACCGTGCTGGCTCGTGAGCGGTATGAGGGGGGTGGTGAACTTGGTAAGCTGTAGTCCTCAACTGGCACATCATCAAAGTTACGGGGCTGGTTTTGTGCCATGACTAGCTGATGCTGGAACTCCTGCATGGACACGTTGTAAGAGGGGGGTGGACGTCTGTACTGAAACTCGGGGTACATCACACCTGTCAATGAAACCCATAGGTTAATAATCTGTTTAATTGTACAATCGCAGAAGTATGTTTTATTCCTGCACTATCCTTTTCACATTTTACACATTTGCTGCAAGTGACTAAGTGGAGTGCTAACAATTGTATGCATAATGAAGCCAGAAATCATTTGTGTTAGATCAAATGATTGGTGTTTTTTAAGATGAGTCTTTCAATATAAATGTCTTACCAATTTACTTGGTATGTACATATGCATACTCTCCGACATGAAAAACTTGATAAAATCACATAAATTCTACAGAACTAGAGCAAGTACAGAATTATAAATACACTGTGTCAGTACAGAATTATAGATACACTGTGTCAGTACAGAATTATAGACACACTGTTAGTATAGAATTATAGATACATTGTCAGTACAGAATTATAGATACACTGTAAGTACAGAATTATAGATATACCCTCAGTATAGAATTATAGATACACCCTCAGTACAGAATTATAAATACACTGTGTCAGTACAGAATTATAGATACACTTTGTCAGGACAGAATTATAGACACACTGTTAGTATAGAATTATAGATACATTGTCAGTACAGAATTATAGATACACTGTAAGTACAGAATGATAGATACACTGTCAGTACAGAATTATAGATATACTGTTAGTGCAGAATTATAGATACACCCTCAGTACAGAATTATATATACACCCTCAGTATAGAATTATAGATACACCCTCAGTACAGAATTATATATACACCCTCAGTATAGAATTATAGATACACCCTCAGTATACAGAATTATAGATACACCCTCAGTATATAGAATTATAGATACACCCTCAGTATACAGAATTATAGATACACCCTCAGTATAGAATTATAGATGCACTGTCAGTACAGAATTATAGATATACTGTTAGTGCAGAATTATAGATACACCCTCAGTACAGAATTATACCCTCAGTACAGAATTATAGATACACTGTGTCAGTAGAGAATTATAGACACACTGTTAGTATAGAATTATAGATACATTGTCAGTACAGAATTATAGATACACTGTAAGTACAGAATGATAGATACACTGTCAGTACAGAATTATAGATCCACTGTCAGTACAGAATTATAGATATACTGTTAGTGCAGAATTATAGATACACCCTCAGTACAGAATTATATATACACCCTCAGTATAGAATTATAGATACACCCTCAGTATAGAATTATAGATACACCCTCAGTACAGAATTATATATACACCCTCAGTATAGAATTATAGATACACTGTCAGTGCAGAATTATAGATAGAGTGTCAGTGCAGAATTATAGATACACCCTCAGTACAGAATTATACCCTCAGTACAGAATTATAGATACACTGTAAGTACAGAATGATAGATACACTGTCAGTACAGAATTATAGATCCACTGTCAGTACAGAATTATAGATATACTGTTAGTGCAGAATTATAGATACACCCTCAGTACATAATTATAGATACACTGTGTCAGTACAGAATTATAAATACCCCCTCAGTATAGAATTATAGATACACTGTAAGTACAGAATGATAGATACACTGTCAGTACAGAATTATAGATTCACTGTAAGTACAGAATTATAGATACACTGTCAGTATAGAATTATAGATGCACTGTCAGTACAGAATTATAGATATACTGTCAGTACAGAATTATAGATACACTGTTAGTATAGAATTATAGATACACTGTCAGTATAGAATTATAGATACACTGTCAGTACAGAATTATAGATATACTGTCAGTGCAGAATTATAGATACACCCTCAGTACAGAATTATAGATACACTGTGTCAGTACAGAATTATAAATACACCCTCAGTATAGAATTATAGATACACTGTCAGTACAGAATAATAGATACACTATCAGTACAGAATTATAGATACACTGTCAGTACAGAATTATAGATACACCCTCAGTATAGAATTATAGATACACTGTCAGTACAGAATTATAGATACACTGTCAGTACAGAATTATAGACACACAGTAAGTATAGAATTATAGACACACAGTAAGTACAGAATTATAGATACACCCATAGTATAGAATTATAGACACACAGTAAGTATAGAATTATAGATACACCCTCAGTACAGAATTATACACTCAGTACAGAATTATAGATACACTGTAAGTACAGAATTATAGATATACCCTCAGTATAGAATTATAGATACACCCTCAGTATATAGAATTATAGATACACTGTCAGTACAGAATTAGATACACTGTAAGTACAGAATTATAGATACACTGTCAGTATAGAAGTATAGATACACTGTCAGTATAGAATTATAGATACACCCTCAGTACAGAATTATAGATACACTGTAAGTACAGAATTATAAATATACCCTCAGTACAGAATTATAAATACACTGTTAGTATAGAATAATAGATACACCCTCAGTATAGAATTATAGATACACCGTCAGTATATAGAATTATAGACACGCAGTAAGTATAGAATTATAGATACACTGTCGGGACAGAATTATAGATACACCCTCAGTATATAGAATTATAGATACACTGTCAGTACAGAATTATAGATACACTGTCAGTACAGAATTATAGATACACCCTCAGTATAGAATTATAGATACAACCTCAGTATATAGAATTATAGATACACCCTCAGAATATAGAATTATAGATACACCCTCAGTTTATAGAATTATAGATACACCCTCAGTATAGAATTTTAGATAAACCCTCAGTATAGAAGTTTAGATACACTGTCAGTATATAGAATTATAGATACGCCCTCAGTATATAGAATTATAGATACACCCTCAGAATATAGAATTATAGATACACCCTCAGTTTATAGAATTATAGATACAACCTCAGTTTATAGAATTATAGATACACCCTCAGTTTATAGAATTATAGATACAACCTCAGTTTATAGAATTATAGATACACCCTCAGTTTATAGAATTATAGATACAACCTCAGTTTATAGAATTATAGATACACCCTCAGTATATAGAATTATAGATACCCCCTCAGTATAGAATTATAGATACACTGTAAGTACAGAATTATAGATACACTCTCAGTATATAGAATTATAGATATACCCTCAGTATATAGAATTATAGATACACCCTCAGAATATAGAATTATAGATACACCCTCAGTTTATAGAATTATAGATACACCCTCAGTATAGAATTTTAGATACACCCTCAGTATAGAAGTTTAGATACACTGTCAGTATATAGAATTATAGATACACCCTCAGTATAAAATTATAGATACACCCTCAGTTTATAGAATTATAGATACACCCTCAGTTTATAGAATTATAGATACAACCTCAGTTTATAGAATTATAGATACACCCTCAGTATATAGAATTATAGATATACCCTCAGTATATAGAATTATAGATACACCCTCAGAATATAGAATTATAGATACACCCTCAGTTTATAGAATTATAGATACAACCTCAGTTTATAGAATTATAGATACACCCTCAGTTTATAGAATTATAGATACAACCTCAGTTTATAGAATTATAGATACACCCTCAGTATAGAAGTTTAGATACGCTGTCAGTATATAGAATTATAGATACACCCTCAGTTTATAGAATTATAGATACAACCTCAGTTTATAGAATTATAGATACACCCTCAGTTTATAGAATTATAGATACACCCTCAGTTTATAGAATTATAGATACACCCTCAGTATAGAAGTTTAGATACGCTGTCAGTATATAGAATTATAGATACACCCTCAGTTTATAGAATTATAGATACACCCTCAGTATATAGAATTAGAGATACACCCTCAGTATAGAATTTTAGATACACCCTCAGTATAGAAGTTTAGATACACCGTCAGTATATAGAATTATAGATACACCCTCAGTACAGAATTAGATACACTGTAAGTACAGAATTATAGATACACTCTCAGTATATAGAATTATAGATATACCCTCAGTATATAGAATTATAGATACACCCTCAGTATATAGAATTAGAGATACACCCTCAGTATAGAATTTTAGATACACCCTCAGTATAGAAGTTTAGATACACCGTCAGTATATAGAATTATAGATACACCCTCAGTTTTATAGAATTATAGATACACCCTCAGTATATAGAATTAGAGATACACCCTCAGTATAGAATTTTAGATACACCCTCAGTATAGAAGTTTAGATACACCGTCAGTATATAGAATTATAGATACACCCTCAGTTTTATAGAATTATAGATACACTCTCAGTATATAGAATTATAGATATACCCTCAGTATATAGAATTATAGATACACCCTCAGTGTATAGAATTATAGATACACCCTCAGTTTATAGAATTATAGATACACCCTCAGTATAGAAGTTTAGATACACTGTCAGTATATAGAATTATAGATCTCATTGCCCCAACCTGTGTTCAGGTATGTATCACCTCTGATAACATATCGCCACTCAACATTACACAAAGCTTTTTTCATAGCGCACAAAGATCAATAAATCAAAAGAAGACGGACGTGTGTCATTAAGTAACCACTTAGAGACTGTAGTCTGTCAAGTTTTACTCATTGTGTTTATGCTGACAATGTTTACAGAGGCAAGTGCCCATACTAGTATCAAACATTTCAATTACACCTTTCCATCTTTCTTATAAATGAGTTTGTTTTTATAAAAATCCATCACTGTGTCTGATCAATGGCTTGTGTCAATAGACAGGCTATAGGGGGCTCCTACAACCCAAACTTTTTCATATAACAACAAAATAACTTTGATACTAAATAATAATTTATTCTGGGTTTAATTTCCAAGGACACTGTCAGCTACACATCTGTATACAGAATCTTAAAACGGTGTAGAACAGGTTTTCCTTGTTAGTACATGAAATTCAGTCTTGCCTTTTTACATGTTACTACATCTTGAATGTTTGCAGCAATTTTGTTCACAAACATGCATTTTTTCCTCAACTGACTTCTTTGATAAGATGCAATGAACAATACCTAGACACATGGTTGAGAAATATTTACCCAGTATATCAAAACTACACACATATACATTGTACAACCACATACACTCAGTCAAGCCGACAAGGTGCTTAATAAAGAAAATAAATGAAAAATTACCAAAAAAGGGCTGTACAAGATATTTTCTTATGCAGTTAGGAACTTTTTGTAGAGTTTAAGCTCAAAATTTGGAATTTGAATCGCCCATGACCTTGTACATAGTTTTTCTTAAACTTCTGAAATGTTCAACTCAGTACAGTATGATTTCACCTGTCAGTCTCATTTCTCTTAATTTACAAATTTCATATCCTTAACTTACAAACTGAATTTTTTAAACAAACATTGGTGTCCAGGCTTTATCCTGAATGTCATGTCTAGCGATCATCTCGGGACGATACCTACCTCCATACCACTGACCCTCCCCTCGCCGCCGGTGGTGACCATGATGACGGTGTCGCCTTTCTCGGGGCTGATGGCGAAAGTCACCAAGTCCAAATAATGCATGTAAGGGTTCATGACCCCTCGGTGTACATTTCCATCCAACAGCTACCACAACCACAAGCAGAACACCCAAACCTGAAACAAAGTAAGGGCGGTATCTTTTGACAACAATACAACGACAAACAATAACTTCTCTAAGGGAGTGGGTACACATTGTTTCTGATACGTGATATAAGTTTTAATAATGATTCAAACCACACCTTGGTACCAATAGGTATCAGTTTTAACCTCAGTCATGATATGGTTTGTATGTCTTGCTAAAAGAACAAAATGTTTGAGACTGTCATTGTAACAATTACCCTTCAAACAAAAACTTGTGGATGAGGGTTAATGCAGGTTTCATATAAGCAAGATGTCTTTACTGTGATGTCCCTTTTCATACCAGTAAAAAGTTGATCACAGCAACATTCCACATACACATTTTACCCAGGGCTTGAAGCTCTCACATCATTCAAAATATACTGACCCACATATCTGTGTATTAGAAACTGCAGGTAACCATTAAAGTCTTGTCAAATTAACATAAAAAGTTTGAATGAACCCTAATTACGTCAGTATTGAACCAGGTTTGTGGTTCTGCACTGACAGACCCCTGCCTGTTACCACCTATACATCATTAAGCATTGCCAAGATAGATTACCTATGTATTATTGCTCCATGTAAACGTCCCAGTTACAGAATTTAATACATGTAGTCGATTTTTATTCCTGCAAGTTTTAATATAAACCGATAAACAATACTTGGGGGGTATAAGTGGTAGTGGGCTCAATCGGTTTGGTAAGTTCATTCTGAAGTGAGTGCTCTCTAGAATGTACATGTTAGTGATGATAGCTTGTCTCCTACTTAGCAACTGTAGCCACAATATTCTTATTTCTGGTGTAATTGTTTTCTGAATTGGTCATTACCTAAATAATTATACTCTTACTTCTGATGTAAGTGTCCTCCTTATCTGTCATAACATAGTTTACTCTTACTTCTGATGTAAGTGTCCACCTTATCTGTCATAACATAGCTTACTCTTACTTCTGATGTAAGTGTCCTCCTTATCTGTCATAACATAGCTTACTCTTACTTCTGATGTAAGTGTCCTCCTTATCTGTCATAACATAGCTTACTCTTACTTCTGATGTAAGTGTCCTCCTTATCTGTCATAACATAGCTTACTCTTACTTCTGATGTAAGTGTCCTCCTTATCTGTCATAACATAGCTTACTCTTACTTCTGATGTAAGTGTCCTCCTTATCTGTCATAACATAGCTTACTCTTACTTCTGATGTAAGTGTCCTCCTTATCTGTCATAACATAGCTTACTCTTACTTCTGATGTAAGTGTCCTCCTTATCTGTCATAACATAGCTTACTCTTACTTCTGATGTAAGTGTCCTCCTTATCTGTCATAACATAGCTTACTCTTACTTCTGATGTAAGTGTCCTCCTTATCTGTCATAACATAGCTTACTCTTACTTCTGATGTAAGTGTCCTCCTTATCTGTCATAACATAGCTTACTCTTACTTCTGATGTAAGTGTCCTCCATATCTGTCATAACATAGCTTACTCTTACTTCTGATGTAAGTGTCCTCCATATCTGTCATAACATAGCTTACTCTTACTTCTGAAGTAAGTGTCCTCTGTAGCAACTGTAACCTATTTTTGCTTCTAAAGTAAAAAAAAACTTCAGTAGCAGCTGAAGCCTAATATTTAATATTGCAATTGAAACAAATAAGTCTCTTGCATGCACTGAGACAGTACCAATGTACTGGTAACATGTTTTGGTGACCACCAATGATGGGAAACAGAAAAAATATCTCTATAAAATTTCAGATCAAATCAGAAATCAAATCCTGACCATCTGCATGGATTTAACAACCAGTAGCTCAAACCATGGACTATCTGGCCATTATGGAGACTTAGACATATGTCCTACTATTAGTAGAACCAACCATCTCATCTCCCCAACCAATCACAAAATCTCATCTCATCTCCCCAACCAATCACAAAATGTCATTTCATCTCCCCCAACCAATCACAAAATCTCATCTCATCTCCCCAACCAATCACAAAATCTCATCTCATCTCCCCAACCAATCAAAAAATCTCATCTCCCCCAACATTAACCAATCACAAAGATTGTGATTACATCAAGCCGGTAAGATTACCTGCACGGAGTACAAAAACCTTTAAAAGTATAATGCAACACACCTAGGACTTCAATCTTATCATTATTTAAAAGTTTCTCACAACAAACTTGTTTTTAGTAAACAACCCATGTCTACCACCACACTGACAAAGGGCATTATTGATCCCTAACCAAGCAAGACAGTCAGTACCGTTTACGATTTTATCACTATGTTTTCAAAAGCAGGACAACAAAAGAATGAATAGCACTGTGCCTAATAGCACCAAGCTGCAATATTGCAAAGGAATGAAAGACTAGGGTTTTTAGGACAAAAATAAGGAGAGAAATGTTTAATGACAAAATGAGTACTGTGCTAGGATCAGTCACTCACAGCGCAAGTTACATATTTAATATCAGGTTCAACAGTTCAACAGTTCACAAGGAATTTTTCTTTACATGGAGGTTCAATTTCTGCTGAGTCAAATTTAACAATCCTTTTAAAAGCTATACCTCTCGTTAACTTTCAGCGTATGTTTCTTTTATAAAAGGAGCTGGTACACTTGAGAGTTGAAAAGAGTATTGTATACACACAAATAGTGTAGTATCACCTAATGGTTTAAAACACTTACAGACCTTTGCATGTGTGTTTATAGACAATCAGTCATGATTAATCCCAATGGGAAGCTATTGATATCCCCCTCATAAAGCACTCTGCCATGTGTCAGTTTCAGCCATTAGTGTATTGAAGTTACTACTTGTAAAGTATCAACGTACTACCCATCCAGATCTACCTAAACTTTACAACGGCCTGTTCCTGCATATCAGTTTGTATAATACAGCACAATCCTAACTGAATTGAGATAATCATCCCTCAATTTTTCTTCTTTTTGAGAATATCAAGCACTTGTTTGCTAAGCAGCCTGTATTTGGCTGTAAACACACATATTGTGTAATACCAATCACAATACAAGTAACTTGATTCTACCCTCCACCATCTGTCACCACAACAATATGGACCTGAGAAAAGGACAGAGAGCACTGTGACGTTACAATAGGACAGAGAGCAGCGTGACGTTACAATAGGACAGAGAGCACTGTGACGTTACAATAGGACAGAGAACAATGTGACGTTACAATAGGACAGAGAGCACTGTGACGTTACAATGGGACAGAGAGCAATGTGACGTTACAATAGGACAGAGAGCACTGTGATGTTACAATAGGACAGAGAGCACTGTGACGTTACAATAGAACAGAGAGCAATGTGACGTTACAATAGGACAGAGAGCACTGTGATGTTACAATAGGACAGAGAGCACTGTGACGTTACAATAGAACAGAGAGCACTGTGACGTTACAATAGGACAGAGAACACTGTAACGTTACAATAAGACAGAGAACACTGTGACGTTACAATAGGACAGAGAACACTGTGACATTACAATAGGACAGAGAACACTGTGACGTTACAATAGGGCAGAGAGCACTGTGACGTTACAATAGGACAGAGCGCACTGTGACGTTACAATAGGACAGAGAGCACTGTGACGTTACAATGGGACAGAGAGCAATGTGACGTTACAATAGGACAGAGAGCACTGTGACGTTACAATAGGACAGAGAGCCCTGTGACGTTACAATAGGACAGAGAGCACTGTGACGTTACAATAGGTCAGAGAGACCTGTGACGTTACAATAGGACAGAGAGCACTGTGATGTTACAATAGGACAGAGAGCAATGTGACGTTACAATAGGACAGAGAGCACTGTGACATTACAATAGGACAGAGAGCAATGTGACATTACAATAGGACAGGGAGCACTGTAACATACAATAGGACAGAGAGCACTGAGACGTTACAATAGGACAGAGAGCAATGTGACGTTACAATAGGACAGAGAGCACTGTGATGTTACAATAGGACAGAGAGCAATGTGACGTTACAATAGGACAGAGAGCACTGTGACGTTACAATGGGACAGAGAGCAATGTGACGTTACAATAGGACAGAGAGCACTGTGATGTTACAATAGGACAGAGAGCAATGTGACGTTACAATAGGACAGAGAGCACTGTGATGTTACAATAGGACAGAGAGCAATGTGACGTTACAATAGGACAGAGAGCACTGTGATGTTACAATAGGACAGAGAGCACTGTGACATTACAATAGGACAGAGAGCAATGTGACATTACAATAGGACAGAGAGCCCTGTAACATACAATAGGACAGAGAGCACTGTGACGTTACAATAGGACAGAGAGCAATGTGACATTACAATAGGACAGAGAGCACTGTAACATACAATAGGACAGAGAGCACTGTGACGTTACAATAGGACAGAGAGCAATGTGACGTTACAATAGGACAGAGAGCACTGTGACGTTACAATAGGACAGAGAGCACTGTGACGTTACAAAACGACAGAGAGCACTGTGACGTTACAATAGTTATTGAACTGAGGTCACAAAGTGTGTTTCTAAAAACAAGTAACACTAATCAAAAACATCCACGTGACTGTCCAATCAATGAGGATGTAGGAAACATTCTTGTCATTAATTACATGTATTACACTCTATCGGACGTATACTTGTATACAACTTAATTCAGTCAGCTAGAAAATGTATGAAATCATGGATAGCCATTAATAAATACTTGATAGGTACACAAACAGTACTTCAGAGAGAACAACTGCAGATCAATCAATTCACTTGGGCTTCTCCTTTTAAAAAATTGTTTAGATGTAGATGAACGCAAATGTGTTATCGCAACATAACAATAGATATGAACACATTATGTTAATACTTAAACGACACATGTTCCAGCATGTGTTCAATACACTTGTCCACTAAATTTGACCGATCTTACAAAAATTTATAAACTCAACTTCTTGGATTATATGCTTTACAAGGGAAATGTGATATGTACAGCATTACCACATGTAGTACTAAACGAT